TTTAATATTATTAAACCCTAATTTAAATTTCTAAAGTTTTCAAATTTGATATGCCATATAAATATAAAACGGTATATCTTGTTTCAAATAATTTATTTTCGTAATTTTTTCTTCAATTTTAAAAAATTTATATCTTTCATTTATTAATATTTAATATGATAAAATGCTTATTATTAATGGAAATGTCAAATATATATTATTCTCCTTTAAGTTTTTATCTATAAAATTTATTTAATTTTTTAAAAAATAGTGTAATGTATGAGAAAATTTCTAGTATATTTATAAATTATTAAAATGAGATTCTATCAATTAATATAATTTTAATTCTTTAAATTTCAATTTTAAACAGTTTATATTTTTACATTTCAACTACTTTATTATCAGTAAATATTTTTAATATAATTTTCCATTTATATATTTATATATTTAAGATATTTATAAAATTATTTTATTCATGATATATTTATTAGTATGTTAATGAAATAAATTTGTATTAAAAATAAAATTATTTACTTTTAATTTATATAATTATATATAAACACAAATAAATGACTGATATTTAATAGTGGATATTTAAAACCAATAAACTGTAAGTAATAGTAAAAAGAACTGAAAATATAAAAACCAAATAAATAATATAAAAACAAAACTAAAATTAATCAAAAGGTTTTAGCACTTTCACTTAGTTGGTACTTGGTAGAGTAATGTGTTTTATGTGATTGTAACCCTTTGGCACTATGTTGAACCCATATTGAAAAAAAAATTAAAATTAATTGCAATAGCAAATTATAGAGACTAAATCTTTGTTGTTTATATCCTAATTTTTTAATAAAAATCAACGAAGTTCAGTAGGGTTGATAGAAAGTTGTGTTTTTAATTATATTGATAAAGATTTGATTAATTATCTGATCAATCCCATGGAAAAAAAAATTTGTTGGTAGAACTAAAACACATTATTGTGATCTCTAAGCTATAAAAGAAATTAATCTCTAGTGGTTGAAGGATGTCACGGTTCAAAAAACGAAAAAAGAAGGATGAAATAGTATTGCAACTTGCAAGCAGCATGGGATTACTGATTAACGGACTAACAATATCAGTTACAAAAATTATAATGAACACAACATAAAATCTTGTGTATGTTATTTAATCCGTTACTAAAACTTTAAATTTAATTCATATGTATTAGAGTGTAACAACAGAAATTACACACTCATTTAATTGTCGATTGTTGTACAAAATAAGTTAAAATTCATCTCATAAATGATAGTTAATTGATAGAATAATTTTTTTACACGCTTCACAAATAAACTCGCTTAAAAATTTTCCATTTAAATGAAGCATAACGGAGACCAAATTAAGCACATACAAATTTTGTTTCGTGAGCCCCGAGCATTTTAAGTTTGGCTAATCATATATATACCTCTTTTTATTTTTAAATAAGTATATCTTTTTTTATATTTTAAAATATTTTTAATCTTTTTTATTTTTTAATTTCATATATTCAATTGTAAATTTGGTATTTTTTCTTCTTTTTCACACATTCTCTTTCTATTCTTTTTTAATTTTCATATACACTCTCTTATCTTTCTTTCACTTCTCATCTATTTCGGTGCATAATTTTTAATTTTTTTAATTTTCATATTATTCTCTTCTCCTCCACTTCTAATTTTTATATGCACTCAAATCGTAGAACTAATGTACAATAATGTTGTATGCACGTGCGACTTCTTCAACAGCTTCAAAGGTGCTAAGTCAAGCACATATTTTTTCTTTGAATACTTTTTTCTTGTCTACACTTCCAAAATAGTGAAATTATTATTTTAAAGAATACTTTTCAAAAATATGTTATTTTACATAATTCTAGAAAGTTATTTCTAAAAATATATTAAACACACAATTTTAAAAAATATTTTACAAAACACTAATTTTACTATTTTGAAATAAAACACTAAATAATGTTATATTTGGAGCTTTATAGATGTGAAAAAGGGGGAATTGCCTGAAGCTCTGAAACACAGATATGCAAAATTTCATCATATATCAATATCAAATACGTATCTGATAAGGATACGTTCCCGATACTTCCAAGATATGTATCGAATCAATATCAACAACTATTCTCTTTAAAATTAAAATTTTAATTTGTCCGATACGATTATAATTCGCTAGGATACACATTAATTTTAAATATATCCAGATTTTTTGATACACTTAGTATTAATAAAAGTTAAACATGATTTTTAATATGATGCCACCCTCTACAAAATTGCTTAAATAAAGTAAACTAGTAAAGAAAAGTAGGAGATGAAAAAAAAACATTGCAAAAGTTGAAGACCAGAAGTGATAGAAGAAAGTAGAAGAAGTGGAAATTGAACTCCTCCTAAGCTCCTTCTAGGCACGGATCAACTTCAATGGAGATAACACCGAATGTATCAACACTTTAGGAGAAGGAGAACTTTCGGATTGAAGGCCAAAGCCTTAGAGGGAAGTATCCAAGCTCAAGCACTCAAGGGATTGCACACTTCAAAGGGAAGGAAACTAGGTTTTCCTAAAGAAATTTGAAGGCACTCTCTATGGCTCTTTCTTGGAATTTCGGTGACTCTTGAAGATGGCTGAATTCAATTCAGAAATCTCATATATTCAAAAGTGTCTTAACATGGCAGGAAAAGATACATTTATAGGAGGGAAATTAGGTTAAACTTGGCGGTAACTCAAATAAGCCTAGTTGGCCCCAAGTTTGAATTTCAAATTTTAATTTGAAATTCAAACTTTGGCCACTCACATGCTTAATCCAGATGCTCCCATCATTTAGGTGTCATTTAGGAGTTATTTGAAGTGAATTTGGAGCTCACATGGCCGGAACCACTCCATGCCATCCATGTGACTCAAATTCAATTCAAATTACTTCTAAATGACACATGAATGAAACCTAATTCTCCTATTAATGTATACTTCATATAAACCTAATCTATTGACCGAAATACATTGGCCTAATGAATACAATGAATAGGAAAAAATACAAGAAGAAGAATGAGCCTAATATTGGGTATCAAAAGCCCAAAGCCCATGAAGCCCAAATATAAGCCCAAAAGCCTAAACCCTAAACTATGGTCAAAATACAAGACCGAAATCAAAGCAATTTCCTATACTAAGAAATATACAATAAAGCATGGTGTTTAATCAAGTAAAGTCCATGTGAGAAGCACCCTAGGCCCACCAAACCCATTGGGCCTACTAAGCTCTGAAGCAGACAAGTCTTCAAGTAATCTCCTGGCCATAACTCTAGTGGTTGAGCCTTTAGCCCATGCTCTTCCATCAAGAAGGTTGGAGACTTGATATATGTTGCAGCACTTTAGGCTTCTGTTTTTTGAATCCCAATATTTAATCTTCTGACTGTGTCTTCCTTCCTTTTTAATTTTGCATGTCTTTTATCCACTACTCATGTCTTTTCATCGTGGCCATCATATAATTGAATTACAATATCTTGTTTTATTTCTTTTATTTGTTTATACTTTCTTTTGTTATTTTAATACGCATCTTTTCTTTTTTATCTATGTTGAAGATTTTATTATGCAATATTAATAAAAACATATATCATTGTTGTAAAAATATATAATTCATTAGCAATTTAATTATAATAATCTAAAAGTTAATTTCACAATATATCTATAGTTTTTTTTATTACTTTTTTAATAAAATAATTAATATAACATTTTTTATTCAATAAATTATTTATAATTTAATTTTTTAATTCATAACTCAAACTTATCTTATTCTATATTTTTAAAATTTGACGTATCAAATACATAGTTGATACTTGTATCATATTCGTGCATCATAATCTCAAAAGAAAAATATACATTTAGCTTGACACCTTCAAAATTGTCGAGAAAATCACATACGTCTGTGACATTGTCAAACACCAGTTCCATGTAGGGATGACAAATATACCCGTACCCACGGGTAATACCTGAACCCGTCCCGACTTTGACGGGGAATACCCGATTTGACCGGGTACGGGTACGGGTACGGGTAAAACCTGATATATTAAATCAGGTACGGGTACGGGTACGGGTATGTACTTACCCGCCCCGTACCCGTACCCGTCCCCGTTCCCATTTTTAATTTAATACTCACTTTCAATTTAATTATATTAAAGAATTTTAATATTTTTTATGTGTGATTATTTATTATAATATGAGATAAAGAAATAACTTAATTATAATTATAATATAATTAAAAATAATAATTTAAAAATTTATATTTAAAATTAAAAAAAAAAATTTGATGGGTACGGGTACGGGTACGGGTATACTCGATACCCGACGGGGACGGGAATGGGGATGAAAATCACATACCCGACAAGTACGGGTACGGGGACGGGAACGTGTATCATGAAACTCATACCTGCCCCGCCTCGTTGCCATCCCTAGTTCCATGTTTCCATGTCTTGGGTATGTGTGAAAACTAAAAAAAGAGTGTGAGAGGGTAATAGGGGAGGAGAAAGAGTAATGTAAAAACTGAAATATTATTGAAATAGGTGAAGAGTGGAGGATGACAAGGAAATACATATAAAAATTGAAAAAAGAAAGAAGATATGTGAGAAAGAATAAGAAAATGTCAGATTAAACATTGAATGTATAAAATTAAAATGAAAAAAAATTAAAGATATTTAAAAAAAAATTTAAAAAAGAAATGTGTACTTATAAAAAGGAGGTTTATATCATGAGCCTTTAAGTCATAACTAAGGATAGGCCCAATAAACTTTATTGGGGCGAATTAAGCAGGCCTAATACGAAGCCCACTATACAAGTCCATTATTTTTCTTGCGTTTTTTTTAAAATGTTCATTACTTGTAAATAGTTAAAGATTTCATTAAGGCTGATGATATATACACCTCCTATCATTTATAAATACACCTCTAATCTCTTTTCTTTTTTTTTTTTTTAAATTCCTAAAATATTCTTCTAACTAAATTTTTATTTTTAAAATTATTTTATTCACAGCCGCTCTTTGGTTTCACCCTGAGCATGGTCAACACAATACTGCATTACACAGCACCCACTCCTGTCCGTTGCTATGTCAAAACAGTTGTTTGCCACGATATCTAGAATATACTGTAACAAAAGTTCACAATCAAATTATTAAAGCCAGAAAAACAAAAATAATGTAAAAGTGGACAGTTGATAAACCAGACCATATCCAGTAACTCAGTAAGACATGTCAACTATTTTTCTTTCTAATTTCCCCAAACAAAAAGAATGATGAATATTTCTTAACTGGTTTATTGTTTCCACAGCTTCAATAAATCTAACCCAAACAACAAACAAGTGATTGACAATTTATCTACTTTGGTGCTATACTAAAAGAATAACAAGTGTACTCTTGAACAAAATTTTGGTCACTTAAAAGAGTGGGAAGTGGAAGAAAGCAAACACTAAAATAAAAAAAAAACGAATGAAGTAAAAGTTATGCACAGGTAAAGTATATTAAGATGTCATAAACTACAATATTGATTACTCTGCCCAAGTGGGCAAGGTAGCCTACATATACATACTTGCAACATTGTATTCAAATGTGTCCAAGATTATTGTAGTTTCTCAACTTATGTAGTCCAATAATATATACCTATAATATGCAGCAGTCCGTTAAATAAACTCCCTAGTTACAAAGTTATATATATATATAATAAAATTGACTGAATTATTATAAAATAAATTCCACAATAAACAAGTTATTGTTAGTTCGTAAAGATCAGCCACATGCAATTAAAATATTAGAGTTGAAGAATTATACATAGTTGACTAAAAAAAGTAAGGTCATGAACTACACACCTTGTTGTCTTCATTTGAAAAAAGTTTTAGACAATGCTCAATCACATGAAGACCATTGGAATCCTTAGTCAATGCAACAATGCCGGGGCACAGCGCTAGCATAATAAGGTTTCGCTGTTCCTGGGTAGTGACATATTCCAACAATTTCTGAACAGCCCGGGTCCTATCACAAGAAAACAAAACCATCCAATCCATAACTTCACAAATTAGAAGCAAAACAAATAAAGAAAAAAAAAAGATAAAATTTCCATACATTATCATTTATTAGTGCAATTCTTGAATCAAAATTGGAATTCCACTTTTGTAATATGTGTAACAAAGAATATTATCGAGATAAAGCTTCAATTCTAAAGAAACAGCACCAACAGTAATTATAGTATTGTATCTAAATTTTATCCAAAAGAAAGACCATTAAAAGTAACCAATATGAAGCAAGAAAATACCCATGAGAATCAAGACTTATATTAACAAGCTGAAAATTAGGCTTTGTGACCATCAAAATGATGCTGGTCCTCTGTTCCTCGCAGCAGATTTCCACTAGCTTCTGAAAAACATAGTTCCCCGACGGGTCCAGCATCAACTCAACCACATTACCTATCAACTCCAAAAACACGAAAGAAACCTCTTCTGGCGAAGCCAAACTCCTCATCCTCTCTTGCAAAAACCGACACCCTACTTGATCCTTCGCCAACGCAAGAATCTTCCCCTTCAGATCATACACACTACACTGAGTCAAAGGCTGCGGCAACAAACGGTAACCGCTACCGCTACCG